CAGCCAAGATCCATCTAACATTAGTTATAATATCCCTGGTATCATGGCCTCATCTAAAACCAGCCTGCACATCTGGCATTTCTCTGTTGATGTACTTCTCCAGTCACTTTTGGATAATCTGCAGCAGAAGCGTTTCAAAAAAATGGTATAAAAAGAAGCATTTAAGTAGGGATTGGGAAAGGAAGGTGAGTGTTTATCTGCGGGGAGGAGAGATTTGGGGGTGCTTGGAGATGTCTTGTGTGGGAATGCCTGCTGGCAGGAGTGGGAGGGACAGATTTAATAACTGCTGTGGAGTCCTTCACCATGGTTCACTGCAGTCCTAGTGGGTTTCCCTTGTGAAATAGTAAGAGGAACTGGGATTACTCATCTTCTAAAAAACAGGAAGGAACAAGTGAATGCTGTTTTGGTTATGTGTGAAGGACTTGTTCTTTAAAAGGTGATGACATAACTTTTTAGCTATGAGAAAAGGTTTCAAAATTAACATTCTTCTCTTTAAAGATTTTTAGGGAAACCAAGGAAAATGAAATTCAGGACTTACTGAGGGCCAAGCGAGAGCTGGAGAGCAAACTGCAGAGGCTACAGGCCCAGGGCATCCAGGTGTTTGACCCTGGGGACTCAGATTCCGATGACAACTGCACAGATGTCACTGGTATGTGGGGTTTGTGGAAAGTGTGTTAGCCTGTGGTGGAACTCTTGTAGAACCAGCTTGAATCTTCGTGGATCCCATTCCCTGATCTCTGTAGTCCCTGGTCTCTGTAGCTTGGTGGGTCCACTGCTCTTAAAAAAGAAGCCTGTCTTCTCTTCTCTCTCCTCCTTTTCCTCCTCCCTTCTCTCTGCTGTTGTGGTACCTCAGTTCCAGGAAATATGTGGGATTGTTTGGGGTCTGTAGCCCTTTATCTTGCCCTTTGCCATCCTTAGATCATGGCTGTATCTCTGATTGTTGACGGCTACACCCTCATCTCATGACTTTGGTTGTTGATGGCTGCACCCCATCCTTACTTAGCTGATAACTCTCTCTGGTTGTTGATGATCGCACCCCATCCTTAGCTCATGACTGTGTCTCTGGTTATTGATGGCTGCACCCCATCCTTAGCTCATAGCTGTGTCTCTGGTTGTTGAGGACTACACCCTCATCCTTAGCTCATGACTTTGGTTGTTGACGGCTGCACCCCATCCTTAGCTCATGACTGTGTCTCTGGTTGTTGACGGCCGCACCAGCTCCTGTCTTCATATTCACTTCTCCTCGGGAAGGAGGAAGGTGGAGAACGCCCTCCTTTCCTTGGAGGTTTTGTGTTGGAGATCACAGGTCACCTCTGCTCAGACCCCACTGGCCACAACTATACCCACTTCTTGAAAGTGGATCTCTACTCGGAGCAGCTCAGAGATGGACCAACCCCTCACAGGGTTTCTACAGCAGTCTTACAGAAGCAGACTGCCAGTCCATTCCCTGCAGAGCAGCTGGAGGATTTGAACCACCAGCCCTGTGATTGACAGCCAAGTGCTTAGCCACTGTACCACCAGGGATCCTTGCCCATGGTTGTACCTGGGAAGATTGGACAGTGTTGGTATTAATCAGATAGGCATGTGTCCAATGGAAATTTATTATTTTTGCCCATGATGGTATATTTTTTAACTCTTATATTTAATCTTTGTAATATTTTGTTAAGAGGTTTTCACTGCAGTCCTTTGAACTATTAAAAGAGTTTTTATTTTATAATCAAAATATATAAAATAAATCTTTTTCCTAGAAGAAAGAAAAAATTACATAATGCAAGGGCTTCCCATGTTTGCTGAAAATACTAAAAAAGTATGGCTAGCACTGAGAAAAGATAAGGAGGGGGCTTCTACTTTTAAATGGAAGGGAAAGTGGGTCATTTTCCCATTTATAAAGAACTGTAGTTGTGTGTTTACAAACCAGTGGTGTGAAATAAGAAGCCTGACAATTACCTTTTAATTTGTACGTTAGTGCCATTGGAATCTGACCAGCGTCCTGGGTCAATTTAAAACAAACTTTAAAAAAAATTTTATGTGTTCTTACTGACTGAGAAAATGGTTCTTGTGCCAGTGGGAACCTGAGTGCCCGTTTCAGTCTTGCCACGTTGGCACAGCGCTTCCTCTCGTCGTTTCAGTGTCCTGGCCTCATGCGTGCTCCCCTCCAAGCTCCTTCTGCCCCATAATTTGGTTTAAACCCACTCTGGTTCAAAGATGACTGTGGTCCAGATCACAGTCACAGATGTAGCCCAGACAGCAGGTTACTCGTAGGTGGGCTAGGAGCTAGGGAACCGTGCTGTATAATTTGTGAAGACTCATCAGCGTATTCATGGGCAGTTACTAATTCAGACATCACTCCTGTTGCTACAGGGTATTAAAAAGACTCTATCGCTGCCACAAAGAATCTGCCTCTTAATGAATTGTAAACATTAATTACTGGTGTGTTAATAAAATTTTAAGTTCTCTCCTTGAAAATTGTTATCAATGGTAAGAAGCTGTGCTGTAATCCCAAAAGCATATGGTTCAAGTCCCCAAGCTGCTCCACAAGAGAGATATGGGCACTCTCCTCCCAAGTAATTAACTGCCTCTGAAAACTTGCCGGATGGTCAGCTACAGGTCAGTTCTGACTCGACAGTACACAACAACAAACTGAAGAAAGCAGAAGTCTTCATACTGGATGGTACCAAAACCATATTAAATGAAGAAAATGTTGGAGTTGTGAAGGATCTCACTTTACTTAGATCCTAGTCAGCTCCCATGAAAGCAGCAGTAAAGAAATAAGACAGTGGGTTGCACTGGACAAATGTACAGCAAAAGGCCCCTTTAAAGTGCCAAAGAGCTAGGAGGTCACCTTCAGGACTAAGGTGTACCTGACCATGATATTTGCAGTTTCCTCATATACAGGAGAAACCTGTATATTAAATAAGGAAGACTGAAAATAATTTATGACATTTCTTTTAGAGTTGCTGAAGGACATAAGGACATCATACATGACTGAAGCAAATGGCCATTAGAAAGAAAGAAAAGATTAAAATGGATTTTGGAAGAGACTCTGAAACTTGCTCTTCAGGGAAACATGAATTAAAGAAATGATGAGATAAGAGAGCTAGACAGAAGACTTCAGAGATAGCTCTAGAAAACAAGCAAAACGTGGCAGAACGCGGAAAGACCTGGAGTTTGAGAAACAAAAGAGAATAACATGTTGACATTTCTCACACTGCAGGAATTGAAGAAGGAAGTCAGACCTTGAGAGGTGATAATGAAGCGTTCAGTGGGCACAGTAGTGAACAGTGCAGGAACATCAAAAGAAGGTGGGAGCGATCTGCACTCACGGACAGAATGAGTGAAGATGGAACCACTTCAGGAAGCAGCATGTGTTCAAGAATCAGTGCTGAAGGAAGATGCCCATGCTGTTCTGAAGGTATTGGCAAAAAACAGGCTCTGGGAATTGGCCTAATACCAGTTGAGGTGATTCAACAAAACAGATGCAGCCTTACACATGCACCCTCATCTATACCAAGAAATTGGAAGACAGCTGCTCGGCCAACTAACTGGAAAAGATCCATATTTCTTCCCATTCCATTCCCAAAAATGGTAAACAGACAGAATGCAGAAATTGACAGAACAGGAGAGGAAGACCCCAGGTGAGATGAATAGACACAGTAACTAGGGTAATGGGAGTAGGCGTGTAGGAGACAGTGAGACTGGCTCAGCATAAGGCAGGGTTCAGAGCTATTGTACATAGAGTTGCTATGAGTCTCATGCGACTTAATGGCACGCAACAACACTGGCATCATTAATGTCACGTGCAAGTAAAATCTTCCTGAAGATTATAAAAAACATCTGGAGCAGCCCGTCAGTGGAGGACTTCCAGAAATTCGGATTGGATGCAGAAGAAAGACTGTGGCACAAGGAATATATCATTACTGATGTCAGATGATATTGGCTGAAAGCAGAGAATACCAGAAAGATGTTTACTTGTGTTTTATTGACCACACAGGCATTTGACTGTGTAGATCATAATAAATTATGAATAACATTGCAAAGAATGGGAATTCCAGGTCACTTCATTATGTGCCTGCGAAACTTACAAATTCACCAAGAAACACAGTTGTTTGAAAGTAACATGGAGATAATGCATGATTTAAAATTCAGAAAGATGTGCACCTAATTCATCCAGTGAGTGTGTTGCACAAATCATCCGAGAAGCTCAGTCACAGGGAGAAGAATAGGGGATCAGGATTCAAAGATTCATCAACAGTGTGTACAATGTGGATGAAGCAAATGTGCTTTCTGAAGGTGAAGAGGACTCGAAGCACTTGCTCCAGAAGATCAAAGACTGCACAACCTTCATTATGGGTTACATCTCAACATCAAGGGGGGAAAATCCTCACTGCTGCACTAACAGGCAATATGATGGAGGAAAAGCTGCAATTGGAAGGGATTTCAATTGTGAGGGCAGTTCTCAAAGAGCACCACACAGCAATGTAGAGGAGGACTGAGGACTTGGGTCCACACAGTGGCTGCAGCAGCGGCCAGAGCCTAGCAGCATTCGTAAGGGTGGACCGGACAGTTGTACATAGAGTCAGTCAGAACAGCTCAGCGGGGGCCTAAACTGCACAGTTTAGCGCGCTTTGTATAATTTTTGCAGCTGGTGGGAATTTTTTAACTTCTCTCTATTTTAATTTCTATATTTTATTCATTCTTGTTTTTAATATCTTTCTTCAAAACCCTCCTTGGAATTAGAGTTTACAGCTGTAATTCTGTTAACCAGCAAAATCATTTCAGACCCTTAAAGTTTTAATTTTGTTGCATTAATAGTATTCTCGTGCTTTTAAAAATGAGAGCTCTTGTTCAGATCACGGGATAAGCATTTGACCACTTACTGACTTCATCCTAACAAGATCCAATTCCTTGCTTTAGCTGTGGGAACCCAGTGTGAATACTGGCCCGGCGGAGTCCTGGGCAGTGAGCCCTCCATGGGGAGCATAATGCAGCTTCAGCAGTCCTTCCGAGGCCCCGAGTTCGCCCACAGTTCCATAGACGTGGAAGGACCCTTTGCCAACGTTAACAGAGGTAACGCGTGGTGTTTTCTTAGTTGGCTCCTTGACCTGACTCTGCATTAGAAGAGGCTGTTCCTTGGAGAAAGGCATCGTGCTTGGAAAAGTGGAGGGTCAGTGAAGGAGAGGAAGGCCCTTAGGGAGATGGATTCTCATTGACCACAGCAGTGGACTCAAATGTGTCAGGAATGATAAGGGTGCTGCAGGATAGGACAGTGTTCAGATCTCTTCTTCATAGGGTTGTATGCATCGTACTCGACCAGCAACACCAACAGCTTCCACCAAGCTTCGTGGTCTGGGGCAGACTGGTCAGTCAGGCTGCAGGGACTGAGCTGCCGGTCAGATGTCTCTGGTGTTTCTCAGCCACTGTGTAACTTGGATTAACTGAGAAACTGCTTTTAGTCTTTACCTCTCTCTCTTTGGTGGTTATAAAGATTAGAGCAGGCTAAGGAGCAGAATAAAAAAGCCTTGTAATGTAAAGTAGTAGTATCATAGTGTTAGTCAATGGGCTATTTTTACCATTTTTCTGTACATAATGTGGTGTCCAAGGCGGTTCTAGAATCTGGTCAGGGTTTTGGGATCCCTGGTAGACCTAAATGGTAGTCCTACTACTCTTTAAAAAATAGTTTTCAAATTACCCTTTTAAAATAGTCAAGTGGGTTTTAAAATGTTTGATCTTGCCATATAGCCAGCTTTGGGGAACTATTCTTTTTGACTGCATATAGACTTCTGGTTAGATGAAACCATGGCCAGCTTGGCAGAGACTCCCCTCAGATACAGAATGACCAAAAGACCCTCTTCAGATATTTCTGGAGGGTGAAAGCCACTGGTACTCCAAAAGACTACTTGTGGCATGTTCTTTCCCACCTGCGAGGAGAAAGTGAGGGAGAGGACCCGCCAACTCCTCGCCTGAGCTTCTAGACGCTATGACGTTATTATTGATATCTGTAATTCTTGAATCTGATTTCATTTGGTGAAACCTATGTGTTTTCTCAAACTCCTTTTGAGTCATCCTGGCTGATGTTTTCTGGTGGTTTTCTCCTGACCTTAAAGCATCTTTATTTTCAGATGACTGGGATGTTGCTGTGGCCAGTTTGTTACAGGTGACACCCTTGTTCTCCCATTCCCTGTGGAGTAACACTGTCAGGTGTTACCTCATCTACACGGACGAGACCCAGCCTGAAGTGGAGCTTTTCCTTAAGGTGAAGATCTTGGCAAATGCTGTATTCATTTACGAGTTTCTTGAATAAGAAACAAGTTCATATTACAGCTGGCTCGGGATGCCATTACACTGAACCAAATAGTTTGTAACCTGCTACCTTTCATTTCTTTAAGAACAAGAAACATCTTGGTTTTTTAAGAGAAAAGCTTTTTCCTGTAACAGTACATTTAAAAACAAACAAACAAACAAACAAGATCATGTGAATCAAGGAGAGTTTTATGTTATTTGGAGTTAACGTTCTGGAAATAAGAATTGTTGGACTTTTATGTGTTGGAAATGTTTTGTGGCATGTTTTTTCTCCTCAGTGCTTCAGATCCTTGCTGGGAGTATCTGCTTAATATTGGCCATCTCTGTGCTTGAATTTGTTTTGGATTGTTATAAGACTGAGTTCTTGACAGAATTTTAAATATTTTAATTAGGGAGCTCTGGTGGCCTAGTGGTAAAAAGCTGCACTGCAATCCCAAAGGCTCCCAGTTCAAATCCACCAGCAGCTCCTTGAGAGAAAGATGAGTAGTCTTCTCCCATGTGGTTACTGGCTCAGAAAACCCAACGGATGGTCGGCTGTGTGTCAGTACACAAAAACAACAACAATGCTGAAAGTCCCCTTGACGGGTCAACAAATGTGGCAGATTCTAACTGTCTGCGTGTCACTGTGTGGCCTGGTCAATGAGCTTTTACATCTTGCAATGGCCGGGATAAAAAATTAGACAGGTCATATTTTGTGCTGTAAAAATTATAGAAAATTCACATTTTAGTGCTTACTAGAATATAGCTACCCTGTTTATGGGTATATTGTCTGTGTCTGCTTCTTACTGCAACATCAGAGAAGTTTGTGACATGGACCACATGGGCCACAGAGCCCCGATTCAGAACAGCCAGGATTTTAAGCTGCTGTTTCATAAAAAATAGTTGCCGTCTGGGCCTTTACAGACTAAAAGTTTGCCAACCACCATTTTAAAGAAATTTAAAATAAATCTGTGTGTCATGTGCTATATTTGCAAAATTAATAACTTCTCAGTTGTTGATTAATATATTCACTTAACTTGACTTTGTGGTATTACTTAATTTTGGTAAAAGGAGAAGCTATTTTAAAACCCAAAACTCCTACCCGTTTATTGAATATAGACTATTCCTTAGGAACAGTTGCAAAGAATGACTCATTTTTTTTCATAATAATGAGTTACAGGTGACTCAATAGTGTATCACAACAACAAAGTCTTCATTCCTTCATAACCTGTGGTGTTTGAGACCAAAATTCTAAAACATTTATATATTCTAAATACATTGTAAATTGTTTTTGCTATATAAAACTACTAATTTTTATGTTTTAAAGTGGTAAAAAATAAAATAAAATGAAATGAAATAAAATTATTAAAGTGGTAAAACCAAGAATTGCTCATAAACTAACAACTAAAGAAATATTAGTGCAAATAGCCTAACAGTCTCTGATTGTTTTCAGGTTTATAATAAAGCAATTTGTTTAGCTTTTTTATCAAAGGCAAGATGTTAAACTATTATGTATTTGTTTTACAGGAAACATTTTCTTTAAGTTTTAAATATAATATTTTAAAATTTATCTAGAAAATATCTAATAAACTGTTCTAAAGTATACATTTTATATTTAAAGGAGTATGATAGGGTATTCACTGGACCTATACTGAAATAAGTTGTACATTTTTATGTTTTAATTTCTTTTCAGGACTATTCACCCAAACTTAAAAGAATGTGTGAAACAATGGGATATTTTTTCTACACTCTGTATTTTCCAATAGATGCTGACAATCTCACTATAAGAAAATGGGAAATGGAGAAGAGTTCATTAGTTATTTTATTCGTTCATTTAACTTTACCAAGGTAAGCAGAAAGTATTTCTAGTATTTTATAGGAATTAAGCTTATTTAGATAAAATTAAGATTGTTGCGTGAATTTCAAAGACGAGTTCAAACAACTGCTCTGGTACCCTAGTGGGTAGGCAGTTGCACTTCTGACTCAAGGCTTGGCAGTTTAAATCTACCAGCTGCTCCACAGGAGAGAAAATGAGCACTTTCCTCTCATGCCATTTACAGCTTCTCAAAACCTGCTGGTGAGTCAGTTTTGAGTAGGTTCTGACTCAGCAGTAATGGGTTTCTTGTTCTTGTAATCAGAAATAAGCCATAAAACTCAATCATTTCTTTGGCCCACACTAGTGAAGTGAGAGATTGAAAGTAGTGTGCCATTGCACTTACTCACTAGGTCATGAGAGCAATGTTAGTGTAAACATTTTAATCAGAAGTACTCAGATCCGTCCTGATCCATCCTCCCACAGCCGTCATCACTGCAGGGTTTTCTACAGCGCTTTCATGTGGAAACAGCAGCACTGGGTCATTCTGACAGAACCTGTGTGTCTGCAGAGCCAGACGTGTTCACGGCCCCTACACTGGTCAGGGGTCCGTATGTCAATGATCAGCACTCACTGTTTGCTTCTTGGATTTAAATTTGAACTTTAGGTGGTACATTTGTGCTGGAACACTTTAAGTGGGTCTTTTTGTTGTTTTGGGTTTTTATTTTATTTTTCTTTTTTTAAAAAATAGACCTTGAATTGTGTTTTAAATGCTCTGAGGCATTTTCTCCTTAACCAGGTTCAGTAAAAGAAAGAGTTTTCTTATGACTATAATTATATTGGGGAGTACCGGTGGCCTAGTGGCAAGAAGCTGTACTGCAATCCTGAAGGCACACGGTTCAAGTCTGCTCTTCAGGACAGGATGGACAGTCTCCTCCTGTGCAATTAATTGCCTCTGAAAACCAGCCAGAGAGTCAGCTAAGGGACAGTACATAACAGCAATAATCAGATTAGTGAATCTGTCTGCAAATACATGCACATGTATAACCAACTAGGTATGTACATAAAACACAAATTAGAAGTTAACCTGTCTTTCCAGTTGTTGTTTTTTAAAGAGCAAAATAGTAATGATAGGTTGATTAGAAAATTACATCCCCAAAGAGAAGGACCTCCTTCCCTGAAAGGAGATGTGGAGGGAAGGCCCTCGCTTATGAGATGTGTGTACCCTACATTTATGTCTGTATTGGATTAAACACTGTTCTTTCCAAAGCACTGGAGACCAATTCTGATTCTGTCAGATTTCTGATTTGTGTAAGAGTGTGCATCCCACCAGCACTGGTTGCTCGTGGACTCGGCCTGCAGGCCCGCTGGGTGGTCACTGCTGGGCAAGACCCTCCAGCCACCTGGCACTGCGGATGCCATTAGCGTGGCCTCCCCTCTACGTGGATTTCTTCTTATCTGACCAGCTTCCATTTTCTTGTCCCCATTTTATTTTCATAGTAAGAGCGTGTCCTGTTTGTCTGGTAGCCTCTTAGGTCAGACATCCTTTGTTGTCTCATTCTTTTTCTTTTTTTAAAAAAAAAACTTTATTATTTTGTGTGTGTGTACCATCAAATTGGATCTGACTGGTACAGGAAGAGATTGCCCCTCCTTCTCCAGCAGAGCATCTGGTGGATTTAAACCGTGACTGGGGTAATGGGGATGGGTGTGTCAGAGGCAATGCAGTTGGCACAGGATAGAGCAGGGTTTAGGGCTGTTGTACATAGGGTCGCGATGAGTCGCAAACGACTCGATGGCACATAACAACAACAACCTCTGGGATTGCAGTTCTTTTTCTTTCATTTCTTTTTTACCTTCAGTCATTAAAGTAGACAAATTACCAGTATCAGCTGACCTGATAACGCTGTCTGACTCACCAGTAATCAGCTCATGACCAGTTTCTTCATCTGCACCCTGCCTCCTTTCCTCTCATGACGTTCTGAACCAAATTCCAGATAATCCCTTCATCTCCGTAGTTACTGCTATTGTTATTATGTGCCATCAAATCATCTCTGACTCATAGTGACCCTATGAACAACAGATCTGAACTCCCCCTCTCTCACCTGATCGAGCCCGTTACTACAGTCACTGTGCTGGTCCATCGTGAGGAGGGTTCTCTCTTTCTCTGACCCGTCACCCTTCCTAGCATGATGCCCTTTTCCAAGGACTGGCCCCTCCTGGCCACATACCCCAAGTTTGTGAGACCATGTTTCAGCGTCCTTATCTCTAAGGAGCACCCTGGTTGCACTTCCTCCACATGTCAGTTTTATAGCAGGTGAATTTGAAATAGGACCACGTGCCCAGACAAAGTGTCCACTGCTGTGCTCAGGTGAGCCACAGACTTCTCCCAGACAACGATTCACTGCTGTACCCAGGTGAGCCACAGAATTCTCCCGAAGCAGCCACAGGGCGTCCACTGAAATTCTGTGTGCAGAAGACGGCCAGCATGGTCTTATGGAACACTTCTGTGACTAGACAGAAGAGACATGATCTTGTTGACTCTTCCATTTGGGGCTGGAGCTTAAGTTTATTGCATAAATTCTGAATCATCTCCTCCCTACACACACACACACACACACACACACACACACACACGGTCTCTAGACAGACTTCCATTCAATGCTTGCTTTAAAAAGATGCTATTAACTTTCTTTGCAGCACAGAAACTTGGATTTTTTTTTCCCTAGAGTGTTAATAGGGTACTTGGGTAGCCTAATGGTACAAAGCTGTGCTGCCAACCCAGAGGCACTGGGTTTGAACCCACCAGGTGCTCCACAGGAGAAAGATGGGCAATCTCCTCCCGTGTGATTTACTACCTCTGAAAACCCATGGTGTGAGTCATTCCTGACTGGACAGGGCACACAGCAACAAAAATAGTGATGCTAAGAATTGTTGGCTACTGTACAGTTTGGTCTATAAGATTTAAAATTACCTCAGTCAAGGTTTTTGCCAGCTGTGTGACTGCTCTCACCCTCTCCCCCACCCCCAGTTCCCCAGCTCTTTTCTGTCCTGTGTCCTGGATATAAAAAGGCCTGTCAGTTGTTGAACAAGAGGCTATCTAGCTCTGCAAGACAGACTATTCTTGAAATCTTGAGGTTTCTCGTATTTGTGTTTCAGTTTGGAAACCATGTGTTTGTAAATGAAATTGTGTGTTTCATTTGCTATCAAAGTCTCTGGAGTCTAAATCGTTGTTTTGAGTGATGTTTAGCAGTGTTTTTTATGTTTTCTTTGTTTAATAAATAAGATAAAGCCATGTGTACTTTGAAATTTGATGCACAATATATTGTCCCCTGTTCGTTGTGTGGTAAGGAATCACTGTATTTGAGGACTGAGCTCTGAGAGCTCACTTCTGGAAAGCTTGGCTGGCTCTGCAGCAGGACCTTTTCAGGCTGATAGTTGTTGTAAACTCCATTGTTGACACTTGGGCTAATGACCAAAACAGAGCGTGGCTTGTTACAAAATGCCGATTTCCATCTAGCCTTTTACTGGAAGACTGTGAAGAAGCCTTCCTGAGAAATCCTGAAGGAAAGCCACGGTTAATCTATCATCGTCTGGAGGATGGCAGAGTCAGTTCCCAGTCCGTGCAGCACCTGATTGATCAAGTGTCTGACCTAAACAAGACCAGCAAAGCCAAGGTAACACTCGGAGGGAGTTTTGCTTTTAAATTGATGATGGAATGTGAGGAGAGGCATGGTAAATGCACCGAGACATTAACAAAACAAGGAAGCTCATTCGGCACACTTTGTACAAGTGTGTATTGGCATCCTTGTATCCTTCGAGCCGGAGGAGAGGTGGTGTCCCCTCCCAAGAGGAGGCACAGCCTTGGAACCCCAGGGATGTGGCCGTGTGTGGGCACTGGCTTTGGTTTCAGGTGGAGGGCTAGGGGGCTCTCCCAGGATGCTACTCCTCCTCCAGTGGGGAGATGCGGTGGCCCTGAAGGAAGGGAGGAAAGCTGGGGCAGAAGTGGAGCTAACAGGCTTTGCTGAGACCTGCTTCATGCTGTGTGCCTTCCAGTAAGAACTGACCCACAACTGACCCTCCACCAGGGGTTCCTAACAGAGTGGTGGTGGTGTGCACCATCGAGTCAGAACTGACCCATAGATGACCCTCCTGCGAGTTTTCTGAGGAGAGTGCCCACCCCTCTCCCAGGGAGCAGCTGATGGATTTGAACAGCATTCCTTTGAGATTGTAGCGTAGCTTCTTACCACTAGGCCCCCAGCACCTCCTTCCTAACAGAGTAGATGTAACCAGAACTCAAACCCAACCCCATACTGTGCAGTCCCTGTGTCTCGCAGCCCTGCAGAGCGGCTGGGAACTGCGAGGGTTCCAGCTGCAGATCTCTGCAGAAGCAGGACAGCCTCTTCTCCCACGGAGCAGTCACTGTGCCAACTGGGCTCCCGACCAGCCCTGGGCACAGGAGAAAGCAAAGAAGACACTATAGTGTATGGTGGAAAGGAGAGAGATCTGTGTGTGGACAAGTATGGTTCTCTCCAGTGCTGTTCCCCCAGGCAGAGCCCCTGTCTGGGCACAAGTGGTGAAGGAAGAACCTCTGTCTATGGACCTTCTAAGACACGTGGCTCACACAGAACAGAAGGCAGGGACCAGGAAGAGCTGACCATCCCTGGATGCACAGGGCGTTATCTCGTAGCACACAGGCTTCGCATGACTGTGTATTGGGGATGGCTTAGTAAATCTCCCGAGGCCTAGTGGAGAGAAACTGCCCTGAGACCATGAAGGCACAGTGTTCGAGGCCACCAGCTGCTCCATGGGAGAAATAATCGTGACCTCCTCCCGTGTCATTAACTGCCTCTTTAAACTTGCTGGATGATCAGCTGTGGGTCATTTCTGACTTGATGGTACACAACAAGAACAACAACAACAATCTTTAAGAAAATCCAGGGAAGGATCAGCTCTGGATCGGTTCCTACTTGATGGCACATAACAACAACAACGTTAATATTAAGAGTAAAATGGAAATAAACTCTAGGGTCCTGGCAGAGTTTTATTTGTCTGTGTCCAGACAGAAAAGAAAATAAAAAATGAGACTTTAAGCATTTTTTAGACATTATTTAATATAGAAAAGCTAGTTTGAGGCTAGCTTGGCAGATTAATCCGCACAGCCTTACACTAATTGAAAGGAGTGTGCTGTTACTGTTACTGATCTCCAGAGCCATTTCATTCTTTGTTTTTGTTGTTAAAATCTAACCTGCTTGTCCCCGTGGAGTATGAAACCCTCTGTAAATTTTGTCTTTAAAGAATGAGGATACAAACTTCTCTTGTGAATAAAGTAATATCTCTACCATGATTTTAGGTGCAGAGATTAAATAAATTCTTATGTCCATTTCCTTCCGTCTGTCTGACGTTGATCGTTTTCTAGTGGTGCATGTGTTCATTCCAGCTAGAGAATTCTTCCTGGACACTCAGACAGCGCCTGTTTTACTTAACAAAACATACCTGCTTGTTTCCTTTCTTTGCAGAATGATAACTTTACTAATGAGAATTTATTTTGATACATTTTGAAGGTTATGTATATTGAGTGTTATAGAAATGTGTAAGACAAATACTGCGTAGTGCCACTGTTGTAGAATGGGACTTACATAAGGGTTAGGGTAAAACTGAGAAAAAATGGATAAATTATGTATACTGCAATGAAACAGATGAGGGAGAAAACAGTTCAACAGCGATATATGATAGGGTATTATGGTTATCACAAGAGTCCAGAGTGAAGGTTGCATAGTGGAGTGTACTGGGGCAGGGGCATTATATACCAGTGAAGGAATTTTGCTTTTACTTTTCAAAGAGAGTAGCAAATTGGGGGCAGGTGGGGGAGCAGGGAGAAAAGTACAACAATGAATGAATGGAAATCCAAAATCTCTGTAAATGTTCATTAAAATTAATAAAATAAAATTTAAAAAAAAGAAATCTGTATGTCAAACTTTACCCATGGAATGCAAAAATGTGTATTTTTATTGCAACATTATTAACACAAAATTCCATGTGTTTCCATGAAGTAGGAAAATAGGCACTCCGTATGACCGGGACACCTCAGTTTCCTCTTCTGTCAAGTGGGGATGATAACAGTATCCCCCTGGTCGGGTGGTAGTGAGGTTGAACAGATCGGGGCGTGTGAAGTTCCGATGGTCAGGCATCTGAGGGCCACACCTGGCCTTCATTTTCTGCTGTTACTACTGCTGCTGATTCTCCTTATTGTTGACCATTTATCCCCCTCAGGTCATTGATCATTCAGGAGACCCTGCAGAAGGAGTATATAAAACGTTTCTTCATGTGGAGAAGATCATTAAGCAGGTAAATGTGCATCCTTTGTATGATTTCGTCTAAAATGCTTTGGGGCGAAGTAACCCAGGTCCCTGCTGGTGTACACCTTGCCTCTAGGATCTGGGAGTGTGGGCTGTAGAGCCATTCCACGCTGGGATTCTATGAAGTCTCAAATGTTTTCTGTCATTTTATGTCCTGTATATTTTCCTCCATATTTTCAATATAAATAATTGCTTATTTTCAATATTAAAAAATCATGTTTTAGAGTATGAATCAGCAAACCTATGCATCTTGAGAGCGTTTATTTGTTCGTAAGGTCTCAATGAGTCGTACTCGACTCAGCGGCACCTGACAGCAACATCAGCAAACCTGTTAATAGTGAAGCAGTCCCCTCACCTTCCAGGGAAAGGATGCTTTGGGCTGCTGGGGTGGTGGGGCCCGGGCTGGGCTCACAGACAGGTCAGCAGCTCGGACACCCTGGAGAGAGAGGCAGCCTGCAGCCTCCCAGACAAGAGAACTGCCCCTGGCTGGGATCTGGGACACGTGTGGGATTACAGAAGAACACCCTCCACGCCCTTTGTAGTTCAGAGGAATGTCTTGGTTTTATCCTTTTCGTACAGAGAAGCCTGTAAGGGGCAGAATTCAAGGCTGTGGCCCTACTTTCCTGGGCCGTGCGGGTTGCCGTGGTGCCAGGATCTTACCGCTCCTCTGACAGGCTCCTCACAAGAACCATTTGTGGCTGCTTTCTCTAGAGCTGCTCACTTTCCGTGGGTCTCTGCTTCCACTACTTGTGCTGCTTTTTGCTCTCGTCCTTATTTTTAAGTTAGGACATACCTGGGTTGATGATGAAGCATGTGGACATCACACAGAGGCCTGGCCAGGCTGATGGCATTTGCCTCGTAGGGGCTGCAGCCTCTCCAAGAGTGTGAGCCCCACACCTGAGGCCTCACACTCTCACCTTCTCTTTCTATCACTGTATCTGGTTACCAGGACATCCTGGGCATTTCCAGGTGTGTGTGCCCCACACC